TTTTTAAATTTGGAAAAAACTGCCCGAAATCTAAATGGTTTGGCCAGGATCACACGCAACGATTTAACGTGCTATCCTCCAATAATGCATTAAACAATAAATAGCAAAACACAATAAAAAATGCAACTATTCGGACGGATCCCAGCCCCTGAAAATCCCTAACACGAACCATTTAGCCAAAAATAATTTGCTTAAATTTGTAACAAATAGGTGATTTAATCACCTCTACGAAATGCATACTGATTAAAGAAAAAAATTTGGAAAAACGGCGCGATATCTAAATCCGTTGGCCAGGATCACTCACGGTAAAAGTAATGTTAAACTTACCGAAAAAAAACCTGTACTACCTACAAAGAAAATAAAAATCTGTATTATTACATAAACTTAGTCGAGAACCCAGTGATTTGATTGGAAAGGAAAATAATTAGGAAACTGAATAAAACTTTAAATGTTTCTGGAAAACTCAACTCAATTTAAGTTAAGGGTTTATAGATTGATAATCATTCTTACCTGCTTTTTGCAAACTGGCCCCATTCTCCATTGTCTATAAATCATTAGACATTCAAAAGCACACACAAAGAAAATACACACAAAGTCGAAAATAAATGTGGATTACACTCAGCAATTAACAGGTAAGATGGTCGACTGTTGGTGCCTTAATGGCACTAAATTGGTACTTTTATCTCATTCATGAACAAAGAACCGACGACCGATTTAGTCCCTTGCCGATAATAGACTGAACTATCCGATAAAACTCATGCAAAATGAAGGTGTTTCATATAAAAAAACTCACCGAGCTATAGAGCTCACATAATCGTTTGCTGGCTGGCCCTTTGGGTGACTCATTGCTATGCTGTTCGATTGAAGTTTTTTTCTTGTTGACGATTTTCTACAAAATTCTAATCCGCGATTGAATTGGTTTGAATATTTATTGCAAGCAAAGTTGCTTTCTTGGGTAAAGATAAACAAGCATCGCCGTTCATGGGGCAACTTTTGAATGCTAATTAAATACTCGCTCTCCGATCAATCGTTTGCTCAATTGTCAGGAATCGTGAAAACCTTTTTAGATTGTTCTATTGTGAGAGGCTGCACAATTTTTAGCAGATCCACCAGAATCAAACTAATTCGCATCACCATTCGCAAAATATGCCATGATTTGTGAATTCTTCACTTTTATTGCGCGATTAAGAGCTACGGAAAAATCGCACTTACTCAGATTTTTTTGACTTTTACTCAGTTGACTTTACTATTTTTACAGTTTTCTAAGCGTACGCTTCTCTTTAAAAATTCATAACTTCCCATTTAGAGTAAGTAGCAACTTGAAACTTTCACACCCTATAGAAGACTCATGTGGTTGACAGCGCTTAAATGTCCACTTCAATCGGACT